ATATATATATATATATATGTGTATATTTTGTCTTGTATCTACTCAGCGGCTCCAAACGCAGACCTCCTCATTCTTCCCCAGTCGAAAAACTGTCCCTGATACAGCAAGTGAAGGACTGCAACATGTTACAGGCTAAAACCACTTCTCTTTTTAATACTTTAATAAAAAAAATCTTGATGGTGACAACAAAAATTCAATGACCAACACTCAAAAAACCTGTCATCTTGTGCTGCTGACAGCATAGTGGCTTTACTGATCAAATATCAAAGCAAATGCATGAAAAATGTCCTTTTACCTTATAACTTAAAACAGAATTGCAGTAAAAAAAGGAGAAAAAAATCAATTTCTCGGCTGTATTAAAGATATAAAGAAAATACAGGAGATGGACTTTAAGAGGTGTAATGTTTCCTTATGGGAAAATAATATATACAAACCTGAGTAACAAATGATAATGTTGATGATAAATGTTCCATTATATGGTAAATGCTACATACTGTACTGATCTGTATGTCTTTCTTACATAGGCCAAAGAATTAAACAGGAAAGAGGAGGAGCTTAAAAAACTGGACAGTTTCCACAAGGAGCAGCTGGCCAGCATAGAAAATAAGGTAAGTGATTATTCATTCAGAATAATTATGAGTAATTTTGATTGAAAGCCGTTGATAAACCTGTTAATCATGTGGATTGAAAAGGCCTTCATTTATCTATTCAAAGAGAGTCTGAAAAAGACAATCAGAGCAAAGCACTAGTTACCAGTATTACATGTCGTCTCCCTACAGCTGATCTTTTCCCTATTACTTAATTATTATGCCTTCTGCACTGTGTATCTGTGTGCAAGTAGCCATCTTGGTACAGGAAGGGCTTTGTTTCTTCTCCCCTGACGACTAGGAGAGCTGATGGAAGAATACTCAAGCAGCAGGAGAGGTGAAAGAAGCAGTATAGATGAAGCAAAATCAGGTAGATCCTTGCACTGCAGGTCTTCAGGAACAGTTTCCTCTCCAGCAAGGAGAACAAAGAGCAGCACAATAGTGACATCGCCCCAAAAATTTACCTTTTTGTCTTGAATTCCTCCTCAACAATAGTAGTGTACATTCTCAGTCATGAGCCTCTTAGTTGTATATCTGCAGTGTGAGATCCTCTAAAGCACTGCTATTTATGAATGCCAGTCTCTCCCAGGGTTTGGAGTGAAATTTGGTAATGTGTCTAAGCGTGCTGCTTGCTGGAGGTGAATCTGCGCTGCATGCATGCATCTCCCTGCCTATGCTTCCTTGATTCTGTGGATCTTTTTTTGGGCACAGCTTCTACAGATCAGGTTCGCTTTAACAGTAAGCACACTATATGTAAAACCGAACAAATTATTTATGTAATGACCCAATGGAATACACAGCTTCCAAATACATATTATAATGTATAGGGATGCACTGATACCAGTTTTTCAGCATTGAATCTGAGAACCGATATTTTTTTCTGGTACTCGCCAATACTGATACCGGAATTCCCAATAAGGAAGTCGGACGGCATGTAATGACTCGCCGCCTGGCTTCCTGAGTAGCCGAGCAGCGTGTAATGATTAACCGACCGGCTTCCCGATTAGCTGGGAAACTGTCTCCATGCTCCCTCATGTGATGAAGGTGATGAAGCATGGAGACGGCTTTCTGGCCAATTAAGAAGCCGGGGGGGTGAGTCATGACTTGCCCCCTGGCTCCTGATTGGCCGAAAACAGCCAACTCCATGCTCCCTTGTCACTTGGTGACGAGGGAGCATGGAGCCGACTTCCCGGTCAATCAGGAAACCGGGCGGCGTGTAATGACTCGCCACCCAGCTTCCTGATACCGGAAGTTACGGTATCGGGCTAGGCATCAGGAGCATTTACTCACCCAAATACTCGGTATCGGCATCGGTGCATCCCTAATAGCGTGATGTAATAGAAACTTAACTGTTAAGCTCAATGAAAAACCCTCCATCCTTCTGATTTCAGCTGTGTGGGGAATTTCAGGTAGTTATACTACCAGTATTAGAAGAAAAAAAACATATGATGCCTGTAGAAATGTTTAAATGCATTTAGAGCAATGTACAGATATTACAAAGGTTTAACAATATCTTTCGAGTGCTGGTAATCCTCTACTTTCTCAAGGATTTAGGGCAGGTCTTTAAATTTGAGCTTTAACTATTCAAAGTGTCAGCCTTCGGTCTGCGCAGGTGGCACTTAAATAAAACAAGACCACATACATTCTTGAAACATTAAGCAAACCCCTAATGTGTATACTACTTATGTTTAAAAAAAAATATGTACTACTTAACACCTACTGGCAATGAAACGTACAGGTAACAACTATTATTACATAAATTATATTTCAAGACATTTTTCACAGACAGACCTCAGTGTCCTTAAAAACCCAACCGTGTTCCATACCTTTGTGTCCCTGAAAGCCTTTTCGGTAAAATGCTTTTAGGTAAAATACATCACAAAGTGCTGCCACTGTAACATGTTTTAGCCCATGTGGGGGGCTGATGGGTGGGGTGATTCTCTGACAGGAACCGGATCTGAACCCAGGACCTCTGCTGTGTCTGGCGGGGGCTCTACCTGCTGAGCCACCTTAGAACCTTGGATAGCTCCATGCCAGATCTTCTGTATAATCCTCAGTTAAACCTAGTTTCTGCTAAACTCTGAACTCCTTGCTCCTCCCTTGAACTTCCTATTTAAGCCACGCCTCTGCACTTCCTGTTTGCCAGATTATTGTGCTCCTGACAATATCTTGCTTCATGCTCCTTCTGTGATACGATCTGCTCATACTGCTACCCCTGTACTGACCTTTGGCTGCTGATTCACTCTTTATCTTCCGCTTCATACCTGATACCTATTTGGCTATTGACCTCGGCTTGATCTCTGACTACGCTTCTGCCTGCTCCTATACTACTACCATCTGCTTTTGTACCAAACCCGGCCTGTTTGACTACGACTTTGCCTGCGGTTTCAGCTACTGGACTCCGAGCCTGATCCAGATTATGACGGTCTCACTCATAGTCTAATGATCAAGCTGGATGGCAGGGCATCATCTTGCTGGCTCTATAGTGTGGTAGGGTGGTGTGAATCACAAAAGAGTATTCCATCAAACAAAACAGTCCACATATGTGTGTTTTAGCTCCTGGGTGTTTAGCTCCTGGGTCACCGGGGCAGTAAACAAATGGTAATCTCCATGACAGGTACGTGGACAGTGTTCCGTTTCAAATGTCGCTGTATGCAAAAGACAAACTTCCTCAGACCCAGTCTCCTTAGGCCCCTTCCCGGCAGCCTGAACATGAAGCATTTTCGGCTATAAAAACAAGGATTACTCTGCTTGAGCTCAAGTCAGAACAGAATTTAAATATGGGTGTCACTGTGCACAGAAAGAGAAGGGTGGGAAGCTAGAGGACATGGAGGCTGAATATTGCGACCCACGCAGTTCAAACCCATCTCCAATTTATTAAGTGTTTTTATTCATTTGGTTTGTTGGGGAGATTCGACCTTACTTCTTGCCCTAGTAATACAACAGGAAGAGAAGGGATATCTCTTCAACAGGAAAACAGAAAGAAACAAACTACCAACACAATTTCCCAACTCTTGCCCTTTTTATGAAAAGAGGTTTTATGCTTTTCTGCGTTAATGCAACAGGAAGCGCAGGGAGACCAAAAGAAAAGCCAGAGAGGGGTTTTAAAACGTCTCCACTCAATCCAAAACCTTCAATTATTTTGAGTACTGCTTCAACGTTAGGAATTAGGTTCATTGTGTATTGGTTAGTCACTTCATTTTGTTTTTTTGGGTCTCTTTACACCATTTTGCATGGGTGAAGTTTCTTAGTTCTAAACCCTTAAGTACTCTGAAGTCCTTGCATGCATCGTCAATGTACCCAGATACCCCCTATGATGTCCCCCAGATATAGTTATGGGCATCATACAATCCAAAAGAGGACCAATCTTGTACCAAGCAATGTGCGAGTCTTCAGGGTAGCTGAGTATTAAAGACAGAGCTGCTTTTTTTTTTTATTGACCTATGCATTTTTAAATAGCACTGGAACTGGTCTGTACATTGGTGTATCAGCATAATATAGCGTGATTTAGGTTATTAAACTACGCTCAGATTATCCCTCCATGCAGAGCATTGGAGCTACCCTTTGAATAATATATGACATCCTTGAATCTGCGCACGCTTAAACCATCCTATTATTTTCCTCCAGTGTTTACCGTGTTTGCCTCACTCTCTACAAATTTTAACAGCATCTGTGACGCGTAGCTGTTGCTACATGTCTTCGAGAGTCAATTAAGATAGCTGATTAATGGAAAAGTGTTGTGTAAACGGTGAAATAGATTGTGGAATTGTGACATTTAAAAAAAAACAATGGAGCGGCTTGTGAATCTATGACAGTTGAAGAGCAATTTCAGTCAACAAGCAAACACCAGTCAATGAGCTACTAATATCATACAGCAAACGCTAAAATTGTATCAAAAGCAAAGGTTTGCTTTATTCCAGTGCGGCTAGAATGCAGACAGCACTTCACAGGGGCACTGGGATTATACTTCCTAGAGTCTTTACTGTCGGCTTCTTGTATCACTGGCCACATCCAAACTTCCAAGGCAGGTCTAGATATAATTGATGAGTGAATTTAGAATTGAAGCACCACACCGTTGAAAGTCCGAAAACAAGTTTATTCCAATGATAAAGTGTTGCAAAGCCATCATGTTTCAGGAGTTGTAACTCTGCCCCCTTCATGAAACCATGAAAGTGTGTATATGGACTCAATAATTGATATATAGTTGGATGTTATTGGCGTGCTTTGAGTTTGCACAGCATCCATCAGCAGCTAATTGATGCAACACCAAGGTCCCCAGTTCGAATCCAGGTTTGGCGAGTGCTTGGGTAGGCTTCCTCCGGGTACTGCAGTTTCCTTTCATACTTCAAAGTCATGCTGTTAGGCTAATTGGCTCCCATCTAAATTGGTCCTTGTATGTGTATGTATGCATGTGAGATAGGGACCTTAGATTGTAAGCTCCTTGAGGGCAGGGACTGATCTGAATGAATCAGGGATGGACACATTAAAGGAGAATGGCTTAAGGCTTTTCCCCATAGTTCTCCTTAGGGAAACGAGAGGATACAAAGTAGCGCCCTCCCGTCACCCTAAGCTCGGTATACCGCGAGCACTCACCTCATAGTTCTCCTTTAAAGCGGGGAGTCAAACTCAATTTAATCGAGGGCCGTATCAACATTATGGTAAGACTATATAAATGTATCTAATCTTCATCATAATTGCCTCTGCATTCGATTATCACTGGTTTTAGTAATAACTTAATACCTAGATCTGAAATTAGAAGTCTAGGAAATGGCCTGGTGGGCCGGATTCGGCTCCTGGGCCTTGAGTTTGACACATGTGCATTAAAGTGACACTAAACTCAGTTAAACTTCCACTTTAGTCACTTTAGTCAGACACAGAGCTCCTTTTAGGGATTAAAGCGACACTAAACTTGTGAGTAAAATCCTGAAAATACATCAAAATACCTTAACTATTAACAACAATGTATCTTATTTGTGTATCACTCGGCTGTAGATCCTCCAATCATCTCTGAATTGGTGCTG